AAGCAATTATACAGTATTCAAACCGTAGTCATAAGGATAGTGATCAGAAAAAGAAGCAGAACCAAAAGTGAGTTAGGTAAACACATACAAGACAGAATTACAACTGAAAAATAATGTTTGTTTAAACGGTTCTTTCCCAAAAGGCATATTGATTATGTGAGCTGCCTGAAATATAATATAAATTTTAATAAAGACTGTCGCAGTTGAAAATTAGCCCGCGAAAACTTTTGGAGCCTCATTCGAACCCATGGCCTATGCGTTACGACGCTACCAACTGAGACCCATACATTGGAAGCAGGCCAGTTGTTGTGTTCATTTCAGCCCTTGAAAGTTATGGAGAAAACTTCACTTTACGTTTCATTCCATTCACTCAATCAAGAAATATTCCTGCTCCCAATTTATGGGTCTTCATAGCTCAGGTGGTGGAACATTACTGTACAGTGCTTACGCACTAAAAGGCATATTGATGATGTGGGCTTTGGAAATATAAAAGAAATTTTAAGAAAGACATGATCGTCGCAGTTGAAAATTAGCCCGAGAAAAATTACGTTTTTTTTAAAGCCATGTGGGTTCGAAAACCGTTGAAGCACCAAAGTTTTTTCGGTGTTATTTTTGACTGGTTAAAAAAATTACTATTATAATTGCGACGATCTTATCTTCATTTAAATTATGCTTATATTGTTAATAATTTATTTCATATCTCTGCAGGTTCAAACTGACCAGTTCGGGAGAACCTTATAATTTTGTAGGTTACTTCACTTCCAGGTTATCGGAAAGGGTGAAACGTACAGGCTTTGTTTACCAAAAGATATGTTATTATTTACTTACAAAAACTTGCATTTAATCAAAGGATCAAAAATGCCTTTTAAAACTTTTGACAGTCTGTTCCCATGAAGAAAACTGAAATAAAGGCATAATTTCTATTAGTTTAAAATGTTATGAAAAATAAAAATCTTTATTTGATAAAGGATGTCAGATTTTAAAGCTGACATCTTGCATACCATATCAATTTGTTTTTTGCTTGGGGGCTCGAGTTAACCTTTGACATACATTAACAATATTCAGAATACACTCCAATATTATTCCTATGACTCTCTTTAACTCTCTTTACACTTTGAAAAACGTTCGGCCCATAATCGGCCAGATACCTTATACGTGGCTATACTACATGGCCCCCTTAGCTCCACATAGCACTTACCTCAGTTTTAAAAAACGCCCACAAATGGTAGTTTAGAACAAGGGTAGACTATTCATTCATCCATTTCGCCATTAACCATGTAAAATATATTTATGATACACAATAAATTTATAATATTTTAAAGATGTTCGAAGCTATTCTAAAGTAAATAATTTTACAAATTTTCAAAATAGTGATGAAAAGGAAGCCTATATAGACGCCGGTGGCTTATGAATTAGAGGCTCCCTGAAAATATAGGGTACACCATGTTGATAGTAAAGGGTACTGAATGAAAAAAGGATTATTTTAAAATTAGATAAAGCAACAGAAAAAGTATTTCGCTAGCTAACCAAAAATTCATCCTTTACAACGCTTAATGATTACAACAGAAACTGGGGGAGGCAAGTTCAGAATAAGAATAATCAGTGACAGCTTTTGCTTTCTGTACCATCATAGAACGTTTCAATCTCCCTCATTGTTCTTCAACTTTATTTTTAACTTTGTTTGGTTGTACCACTCAATTTGCCCATTGTATTGTGGATGTAGTATGATGTCGTGAGAGCCCTCACAGTCTCAATCAAATAAAACACTCTCGTCATGACCTTGGATTCCCAATTGTGTCTTGATCGCTGCGAAGTTTTTATGACACACCATCTGCTCTGCCACCGTAATGGCACCATGGACAGGAATGGCATATATTTGTCTATTTGGTAAAATAGTCGGGAACAACCCCCCAGGCAGGGGGGGGGAATTGGGATGTCCATAGCGATTCATGACCTCCCACAATGTACTTTCTAGGTGTCAGGGCGCTTCAGTTCAGAGGTTTTTTTTTCTTCTTTTTCTTTATCTAATCGCATTTTTTTATCCATTCTTGAGCCCAGAAAATCAGACTTGTTCAATACTAATGATCTCGCAGAGAGCTGAGGGTCTTGTTTACTTATTTGAGGCTTGCTTTGGTGTTAGATTTTACTCCAGATTTAATATGTACTCAAGGGACTCGTCTCCTGAGTTATCAGTCACTTGAGGTTAAGAATCCTGACTACTGTAACGGTGGTTGTTCTACGTTGTGACATTCTGTATGCATATTACTCGTTAAATGACAATTGACTGTGAATCTGCAGTTGTCTGGAGTGCGGTTGGTTAATTCACAGAAAATAAATCGTTCATACTTTAACTTATTACGTTAATCCGTAGATATTTATTCAGCAAAGTAATAACTCACACGTCGCTCACTCACTCGTCACGTCGGAGTGCACAATGCAAGCGCACGTGTTTTTCACCAGAATGAGGCTGGTGCATAAGACATGAAACATACGTTCGTCGCTACCGTGCATGCTCATCTGGAGACCTAGTACGCGCCTGACTATTTTGAACAGAAACATAACTTTGGACAAATACCAAAAGGAAATTTGCCTTAAAACATCAAATGCTGTTGTTACAGCAAACGATGAGTTTCACCAGTATACTTTTTTGAAGGCGCATCCATACCATGCGTATCATTAACCATCAAAACAATGAACTTTCAACTTACAGGTACATCAGGTGCTTCATTCCCTTGAAAGAGTCTATGGCTATTTCTTGAATACCATTATTTTGTAAATGCCTGTCGATAAAGAACAAAAATTTAAGAAAGAACCGACCAACATGAATTATAAATTAATAAGGATAAACAAGAAGATTTCAGACACTTAAACATAAATAAAAATGGCTTGAGACATGAATTTTTTTTTCTAATTTTTCTACAAGTTCTAAAAAGCCACATCTGATAGACAATTGAGTTTGTAAAATAGTTTGTAATAAAGTTTGTAAAAGATAAAACGATCGATGGGAAAATGCATTTTTTAAGAGGTATACTAAATACTGGAAATAAGAAGATTTCTGGAAAATTGTCGAATTCCGTGATACTTAGGTTTTTTCTAAATAATTCGTTCTTGGGAGACTATTTGTTCACGTTGGTGAATATTCTTTATTGATCTCATTAATAACAGATTAATCCTTTACTTTGACTTGCGCATCTTTGTACACTGGTGTGTGTAACCGCTTCCTCTTAGGTTGATAAGGGGAGCAAATAGAACCCCAAAATCATGTTTTATCGCTTACCTTTCTTGTATATAGTTCATCTCGTTGCAATAGGATGTCGAACCCCAGCCCCATGACAAAATCCCTCTTTATCAATGATATTTTGGATGCCTATGTTCTTATGAATGTTTCGGACGAGCTTTCCAAATGAAATACCAATTTCGGCATCAACACGTAACAACATAGTTCTTTCTAAACGAGTAGCCAAGAAATACTGAATAATACAGTGGCTTGAAAACCAATACCCCTATAAGATCCAAAACCTTAGGAGACTGAAAACAGAGGCCGCTAGACATGATAAATTACTGGAAGCAGGATAACGTGACAGACAAAAATTGAAACAATTTTGACTCTGATTAAAATTTCATTAAAACAATTATGTTAGGTTTGGGATCCTTGGTTACCAGGAAGAAAATGAAAGAAATGCTCGCTCACTCTAAAACATTGATCGATAAGCCATATAATATAGTATTTCACATTTCACAGTTACTGGATTCTAATTTGTTAAAATATTATCACATCACCCGAAGAGTCAACTCCCTCCTGGTTCCAAAGGAACCCTGTAGACAGGCCTTCTCTTCTTCACTAAAGAAAAGGCTGTTCACAATTCTTCAACCGAGGAGAGCACTATTGAAACGATTAGTATATAACAATTGACCCGGCGTCATTATAATCAGCCACACTTACAACTGGTGCAGGTATATAAGGCCAGAGAAGGTTGTGTTATTAATTCTTGTCAGGTAGTTTCCATCCAAGTTTCTGGATAAGAAAGAAAATGATGGCTCTTTTTAAAATTTGATTTGATTTATTTGCAAAACGTCCGATGATATCTGAATAGCTTTGATAAATCCGTTCTTAATGGATCAAAGAAGTAAAAGTAATTTAATAGTTTTGAAGCCAGTCTTCAACTACTGAACGGTGTTTCGAAGTACGTGCTAGTATCTCTTTTGCTAGTTTTGTATAATCCCAGCATGCTTGACGCGGATGAACCACTTGGTGTCGCTGTAAAACAGTCTGACACTACGCAAAAGTATACTGGTTAATTCATGGCATATCCTCTACGGTATTGGGAGCTCCTGTAAATAAGATATAAGACCCCGAAGTGACGGTTTTGTGTTGCGCAGTGAAGGACGTCTCCAGAGATTGCACTTGTAGACAAACGAGTCTTCAGGTGTTTCAGTCATCTTGAATATCTTCACGTTTGTTCCCCGAACAACTTTGTAAACAACATACAATTATCTCTACTTGTGCAACACGTCTTAATTTTGGCATATCAAGTGCCGTTGAGATCTTCTAGAATGTACTCCGTAAGACGCTAGAGGGCATTGATGCGCGATTAACATCAGTGACGAAATACTGGTGTTTGGAAAGACGCACGAGGAACATGTCCAGAACCTACAAGCCCAATCCAGAGGGTCTCAATGGGGTTAAGCGTGTGGCGTGAAACGTCCAAAAAATTAACCGTGTGTCGTGAAAAAGGGAAAAAATTAACCGTGTGTCGTGAATTATTTTTGTCCAGATAACCGTGTTGTTTGTAGCTTTTCCTAAGCTCTGAACAATTGTTTGATGTATGTGGTCTATTTGGTATTTTTAGTTTGTTTTTCAGACAGAAAAAAACATTTATTCGATATATAGACAATTCAAGTACAACGTTGTTTTCAAAACATTGTTAACAACTGAAGTAGAAAATCTGCATGCAGTGTCACACTTTAAGAATGAGACATTTAGTACTCTTCAGTACGCCATGGACTTTGGCACTATAGCAAAAGAATCTCTTAAACGAGTTTCTAAATGGGCGGCAAAGTACTTCACCCATCCAGTGTCCTATTATCCAGTTTCCCAAATAGGAATGTTGCTCGGTGACATCAAGTTTATGTCGCCACTCCCATCCAAGACTCTCCCCAATAGGGAGGAAGATGCAATGCGGGGATGGGTTGACAACTTTCGCCCTGTGAGGCAAAGAACTGTCCGATCTGAGACCACAAAGGATAAAGCAGGAGCTTTGCCTCCTGCCGTCTATACAAAGCGAGCCGATTCTATAACAAGAGTATTCTTTAGACGTGATCAAGAAATAAGCACAGATCTCCCAGATAGACAGATGCTGAAGGCCCAAATGTACCCGTGCCCAAGGGCGTATCTTTAATCAGCTTTGTTGATGATTGTACCATCGAAGTTGTCCACGCAACTCAGTCAACTCAGGTATCCAACTCAGATTGTGATTTCGGCGAGTAATATGAAACGGACTCAGACGATAGTTTGTTTTCCGATGACGAACCTGATTATGTAACAAACAAGCCAGTAATAACAAGATCGGGAAGACAAGTCAAGGCCTGGGCAAAGTTTGGTGTTTAATCACCGTTAGAAATGTAAGTACATATTTCGTTGTGCCCGTAGTTGAAACTCATAAGAATGCAAATATAGTTAGTAGAGGGAGACCGCTAAACTATGTGTAAACAATGAAAAAAAGCAAATAGCTCTCAGATGCCAAAAAAAAAAATGAACAATAAATAATTCATTGTCTTAATTCTGACATTCGTTTTTACTGTTGAGCACCACTTTGTCAAAATACACTAATGTTTTTGTTGTTTTCCTTGGCTGTTTTTCTCGGGGCCTTCAACATGCATTGCAGGAGACGTTTTTTTTATAAAAATTGCATTTCTCCTACTTTTTTGTGCCTGGAACCTGATTACACTGACTAGATTTGCTTTTTCATTATTTCAGGGGTCAGTATCGTCAGTGCCCCCCATTATAAATGCCACTCTTTAGAAAGGGGGGACAATATTTGTTGTTGTTGTTGTGAATTTTTGAACAGTAATTCGTGTATGCTAATCTTAGTTAACCGTGCCGAAGAAAAATTAAGCGTGCACCGTGAAATCGCGAAATTTTTAACCGTGTACCGTGTTTGCTACACCCCCATTGAGACCCTCAATCCAGCGTTCAAGAGAGAAAGGTCTGACCCTTAACCATAGCAAGTGCGAGTACAGAAAAATTCGTTGGATACGCGTTCTCCAAAGACGGCATCTCGCCAGACCCGACGAAAGTTGCAGATGTTTTTCATCTTTAGACACCATCGACAACAAGGTTCATCTCTGACTACACCCCAAGACAGAGCCCTTGCGCAAGCTCACCAACTGAAACAAGCATTTTTAAGAGCACCCGTCAGCCGTCCCTGTAGTTTGGGCTTGTGAACATACACCTGTGCGTCTACGGGAAAGCGGTTACAGTCTACAAAGATCACAAACCCCTTGTCTTCAGCTATGGCAATCTGTGTTACAAGCCTCCCGCAAGATTCGAGAGATGGGCTATACGACTTCAGTCGTGCCAGATAACAGTCGAGTAGCCATGTTTCGGCAAAGGTAAACATTGTTAATGTATAGGTAAACATATTTGGACATTATTAATATTGAAACTATCTTCCTGCATACTAATTTGTTATAGGTAAACTGCGTAAGTGGATGGTCATTTCTTTTGAAGTGTTAATTAACTGTCTATTTAGTGTCTAGGTAGCTACAGTGTACGTAAAATCGCCTTCCTCCATATCTAATAAGTAGATAGCCCTTTATGTTAATAACTGTACTTTTCAATAGAAACAACAGGTTTTCTTAGGCTTGCCCGTTCTCTTCTAACCCTGATCAGTTGATGAAAAATCTGTGTGATAGAAATAAGACCGTGCAGATTTTGAACGCACTATTTGTCTTGCAGTCGCTTTGCTAGGAAAATTATTTGTTCCAGTTCGCTATACAACATTTGTCGTTTGCACTCGTAAATTTATTGCAAGATGGTTACAAACATTCATGTCTGTGCGGTCCTTGGAACTTGGTAGGGGTCACGTGAACCCTGTCGTGTTGTTCTGTTAGTCCGAACCATGTGCTTGTTGACTCGTTGTGTTCCGTGAGAGTATTTAAGCTGTTTAGTCGCTCGATACACCACCTTTTTGCCGACGAGGAACGTGTACGGACGCTCACTGCAAGGTAGACAAAGGAAGGGAAGTCTACGTGAATCATGTCCACGTTTGGGAAGTTGGACGAGTACAACGAAACTGAAGATTGGCGCCGTTACATCGAGCGTGTAAACCATTTCTTCGAAGCGAATGAAATCACAGATCCAAACAAGAGGAGATCCATTTTTCTGGTTTGTGTGGGAGCGAAAACCTATAAACTGGTGCGAAGTTTGGTTGCCCCAGAAGATCCAAAGGATAAAAGCTATGAGGATTTAGCAAAACTCCTCCAAGACCATTTCATGCCTAAACCTTCGGCTGTTGTTCAGCGATTAAAGTTTAACAGACGCTCCCAACAACCAGGTGAGACCATTGTAATGTTTTTAGCTGAATTAAGACACCTGTCTGAACACTGTGAATTCGGAATTACGTTAGATGAGATGCTTCGCGATCGGCTGGTGTGTGGTGTTCGTGATATCAGAATACAGCGCCGATTATTAGCTGAACCCAAATTAACATTGAAGCGGGCACTTGATCTACCTCTCGCCATTGAAGCAGCAGATAAGGATGCTTCAGAGATACAGAAGACAAACGGTCAGGGAGGGAATGCCTCTGTCAACAAAGTAGACGTCAAAGTTTTAAATTAGGAAGCGAAGTTAAGTGCTCTCGTTGTGGCGGCAACCACTACCCCAAAAGCTGTCATTTTAAAGATGCCAAATGCTATTGTTGTTGTAAATCGATTGTGCCCAGCTAAAAAGAAAGGGAAACAACCACAGCCAGTTAATGAGCAGAAATCAGGCAACTCCGAGCCTACCAATCTTCTTGAAGGTCCCATGCAAACACCAGGGGAGGAACAGGGTGTGGGTGCATATTCCTTGTTTAACTTTGGCAGTCAACGCCCATCACCCTACAAAGTACAGTTAAGTGTTGCTGGGCAGCCCCTTCAAATGGAAGTTGACACGGGGGCGTCCTTGTCTGTGATTAGCGAGGAACTATACAACTACCTTTTTTCAGCAGGTCAAGCACCCCAACTTGTTTAGTCAGGAATTGTCCTTCGCATATATACCTTGGAAGAGGTCAAACCTAAAGGGTCTTGTTCTGTGAATGTGTGTTGTGACGGGGTTGAATACTCCCTGCCGCTTTTGGTTGTAGGCGGCAAGGGGTCTGCTTTGCTAGATAGGAACTGGCTCGAGAAAATCAAGCTGAATAGGCCCATAGTCAAACAACTTTCCTCACACAATAAGCGACTGGAAGAGATTTTGCAAAAACATGCTTAGTTGTTCGAGGAGGGGCTTGGAACTCTACAAGGGACAAAGGTGAAAATCCATGTTGACCCCACGGCTACCCCTATCTTTCATAAAGCCAGACCAGTACCGTATGCTCTGAGGGAGAAAATTGAACAAGACCTAGAAAGGCTTGAAAGGGCAGGGACCATTGAACCAGTCCAGTCCAGACAACATCGAGAAAGTTTTGAGACGCCTCTCGGAAGATGGTCTAGGACTCAAGGCAGTAAAGTGTCAGTTCATGAAGCCAGTTTTGGAGTGCCTGGGGCACCGAGGTGATGCAGAGGGGTTTCATCCTGTTGAAGCAAAAGTAAAGGCCATTCAAGAGGCCCCAGCACTGAAAAACCCCACTGAGCTGAAGTCGTTTCTTGGTATGCTTAACTTCTATGGGAAGTTCATACCTAACCTGTCGTCCATTCTGGAACCACTACATAGTTTGCTGAGGAAAAACTGTTGTTTGGAAGTGGGAGGTGGAACAGCAAGAAGCATTTGATAAAACCAAAAACCAGCTTCAATCATCAGACGTACTAGTACATTATGATCCTGAGAAAGAGCTGGTGGTATCTTGTGATGCATCACCCTACGGTGTTGGAGCAGTTCCATCACATGTTATGGAAGATGGATCAGAAAGACCTGTGGCATACGCCTCGCGTACACTCTCTACGGCAGAAAGGAACCACGGTCACCTAGATAAAGAAGCACTAGCTGTAGTTTTTACTGTGAAAAAGTCCCACCAATTTCTGTATGGTCGCCATTTTAAGATTTACACAGATCACAAACCACTTTTGGGGATGCTAAACCCTGAAAAAGTCACGCCTTTAACGGCCTCAAGCAGGATGCGGAGGTGGACATTGACTTTGCTAGCTTATGAGTATGAACTGCTGTATCGCCCAGGAAATGAGATTGGTAATGCGGATGGACTCAGTCGCCTAGCCGTTTTGGATGTCCTGGGGTCCACACCCGTCCCAGGGGACATTGTATACCTCCTAGAAACTATCAACACCAGCCCAGTAGATGCTACTAAGATAAAATTGTAGACAGCCCGCGATCCAGTGCTTTCCCAAGTTCTACAGTTTGTTCTTCAAGGATGGTCTTCATACGTAGAAGAAGAAGCCCTGAAGCCCTTTTTTATTAGAAGAGAAGAATTGAATGTTCATGCTGGCTGCCTCTTATGGGGAGCTCGGGTCATAGTACCCCCTCAAGGGAGAGAAGAGGTGTTGAACATATTACACGATACTCACCCGGGAATAGTCAAAATGAAGAGTTTAGCCAGAAGCTATGTATGGTGGCCAAAAATGGACATGAATTTAGAAGAGAATGTGAAAAGTTGTGCTACTTGTCAGAGTCACCAAAAGACCCCTCCCTGTTCGCCATTACACCCTTGGGAATGGCCGGGCCGCCCTTGGTCGCGAGTGCACGTAGATTATGCGGGACCTTTCATGGGAAAGATGTTCTTGCTGATCATTGACGCCCATTCCAAGTGGATGGATATCCACTGTGTGAACTTTGCCACCTCCAGTGTGACCATAGACAAGATGGGGCCCACTTTCGCTTCACATGGTTTACCAGGAATTGTAGTGTCCGATAATGGATCCAATTTTGTGAGCAGTGAATTTAAGTCATTTTTGCAAAAAAATGGCATCAAGCACATTACCTCAGCACCTTACCACCCAAGCACAAATGGACTGGTTGAGCGAGCGGTAAAGACTTAAGACGAAGAAACAGGGTGACGGTTCTGTTGACACCAATTCGGCTCGTTTTCTTCTAAGCTACCGGATTAGCCCGCAAAGCACCACTGGCGAATCTCCACCTCAGTTACGGTGGGGACGTAGTCTTAGGTCTCACCTCGATCTGCTGCGACCAGATGTAGCGACAAGAGTGCATTTGGCTCAGTCTAGACAAAAGAAACAGCATGATCAGCATAGCCGAACGCGCGGAGTGAAGCTTGGTGATGCCGTGAGTGTCAGAAACTACTCCCGGGAGTCGAAGTAGGTCCCTGGAACTATAATCCGGTCCTCTGTGTGCGCGAGTTGAACTACAAGATGAAATGGTAGTTCGGAGACATCATGACCAATTAATTTCTAGTACTACAGAGCCTCTTTGCCCCACTCCAACAGCTCAAAGGGCAGGCCATAACAACGAGAGAAGTGTTGTTCCGGAGGTTGCAGTACCCGATGTGAATAGCCCTGAAGTAACCTGTGGGGAGTTGGAGCCACCCACTATACCCGAAGACCCAAGCTTAGTCCCTGCCACCCAAGTGCGACGATATCCAGTAAGGGACCGAAGACCACCACAGCGTTATTACTGATGGACCCCTTCTGCCCCCATGAACATTTAGTTCAAGGCGAGATGCCACATTGTTTAGGAACTTGAGGGGAAGGAATGTGCGGTCCTGGGAACTTGTTAGTCACGTGACCCCTGTCGTATTGTTCTGTTAGTCCGAACCATGTGTTTGTTGACTCGTTGTGTTCCGTGAGAGTATTTAAGCTGTTTAGTCGCTCGATACACTACAATGTCGAATCAAGGACTACACCTTTGCTGACAGACGACAAAGCGAGTTCCTTACCTAGTAAGGTCTGCCCGTTTCATCCCCTCTCAGCGTTGTAATTGACAGAAAAAGCGAAAGGATTTTGCTATATGCACTGCCATCAGAAAATGTGCTTTACGTTAGCCCCTGCTTCAGAATGGAAAGAGGACACTATAGAGTGGATCGCACATCATGCACACTCTGATGTCAAACAATATGCAGCTCAGAAAAAAAACAGCCTTTGAGCGAGGATCGTATGTTTCTGACATGCTACAAAAAAGAGGGCATCTTTTTCATAAGGATAGACCAGCCGATATCATATGGTATCAAGAAGTGGCTTTCGTATTCGCCTGAGCCACAGGTCGCAAGATTCCATCCTTATGTAGAGATAAAGGAGATGTTTAAGAAACGACGTCAGGAGTCGAAACAGAGAGCATTTCTCTAACAACAGCGCCATAGCCGCTAAGACCAAGAAGCCTTTGAAATGTGTGACAACGGTTTTAATTAACAGTCTAGGAAGTCCTAAAATCTTTCACGGGCTGAGATACAAAGAATGGATGCGCGGGGTGTAGGAAATCGCACACGTTTTACGTTCAAAGAATTAAAGAAGGCTCTACGGATGATCCAGATCCTACACTTAGTTTAGAGATAGACGACTTGCTCGGTCAGGCCTATGACAAGTACTCAAGAGACGACGAGCACCACCCCGAGAGTTGACAAGTGTTGAAGGCTTTGTTTGAAAGACACATTGAAGCGAACACGTATCTTTTCACCGTCATGTCATCACCCCTGAAGAACGTGAAGAGATAGAAAAAGATAAACAGTTACCTTATTATTCTACAGCTTTTGTACAAGGTGCACCCAGTTTAAAATGCATCAACATGCTTAACAGTATAAGGAAACCTAGGTGTTCGGACTTGGCTGGTTTTCACATCCACAAATGGATCTCTAATGAACCGGATGTAATTGCTGACATTGCGGAAGGAGATCTTGCTTCTGAGATAGACTTGGAGAAGAGAGATTTGCCAACAACCAAGACTCTGCGTGTCCTGTGGGCCGCCACAGACGACAAATTTTCCTTTAGACACTCATTACAGTTAGATGGATTTGAGGCGAACAGCATCAGTTTACGACCCATTAGGCTTCTTATCAACTTATGTAATCAGGTTCAAGTTGTTGATACAAAAGGCTTGGCTGGAGGCACGGGATTGGGATGAACTGTTGCCGACACATCATCAGCGAGAATGGACAAGGTGGTTTCGAGAATTGAAAGACCTTGAACTTGATAAAAATACTTCTGAGTTGTTTCACCAAGAAGCAAGGAGTTCCTTAAAAGATGGATTACAGCTTCGCGAACACGGCTTTTAAAGTAATAAGTTTAATTAGTTTTCTATTGTTTTAGATGCAACGAATTTACCGACAGTGATAGTAGTAAGGACGATGGTCATAAATTTCGCGTTGTTTAGCGGTTTTAGAGTAGTCAACAACAAGATGTATATACTTTGTAAATAAATATGGTTTAGTATAAACTTGGCTTGGTTTATGTCTCAACCGAAGCGCGATCTTCCCTCTCATGATATACGTGGAACGCTTTCGAAATCTGCATGCTTTTAGTTTGAGCACACAATGGATTCTACGTGAACCAATCAAGGTTAAAAGAGATCGGGCAAGCCTAGGCAAAGCTTTTTTCTATTGATAAGTATAGTCACACAAAAACAACTATACACTTTATTAGACATGGAAGAACATGATTTTACCTTGCTAACTAGACACTTAATTAACACTTCAAAAGAAATGACCATCCACTTACGCAGTTCACCCATACCAAGTTAGTATG